GACGGACGGACAGACGGACGGACGCATGGAGACCGACAGGGAATGAGCGCAGAGGGGTGTGGGGGAGTGGACTCGGGGGTGGGTGAGACCGTGACGGCCGGACTCAAAGGTCAAGGCCGGGGAGCTGGGAAATGGAGCCTGGAGAAGTGTGAAGGCTACACCCTCCCGGCCCGGGGCTAGTGTCCGGACGGACGGACGGACGGACGGACGGACGGACGGACTGGAAGAGGGACCCACTCCGCTAGGTTCTGTCCAGACCGCAGAGCCGGGCTTCAAGGATCATTTTTTCAAAATGATCAGCCACTGGGGAGAAGAGAGTTTAGGGATTAAGTGTGATACAGCCCCTTCATTTGATGGGAAACTGTTTCTGCATTTTTGTTTGTGTGTTAGTTCTCTATTTCTGTTTGTATCTTTCCAAGTATTTCTATCTTTCGAGTGATTCTCCACGCCTAGAACTGCATCCTCCTCGTCCTCCCCCAGCGATTTTTTTTTAACTTTGCCCTTTTAGGGGAGCTTGACTTAGGCAGCTTGATTTCTTTGCACTAAGGATTCTTCTTGTAGGTGGATAGAGGTGTTAAGATTTCGAGAGTAATAGGCCCTCCCCAAGTGAGGACTGTTATTAACTAATGACATTCTAAATACTCCTATTTACAAAATATGGATCATTCTCAGTTACCATGGTTGTGATTTTTTTTTTTTTTTTTTTTTACCTCCTTCTCTTCCTGAAGCAGTTTCACAGTTTACAAAACCAGCAAACTTTGCTCATTTATTTTCCCTTGTGACCCAGCTGGTGAAGAATCCGCCTGCAATGCAGGAGACCTGGGTTCGATCCCTGGGTTGGGAAGGTCCCCTGGAGAAGGGAAAGGCTACCCACTCCAGTATTCTGGCCTGGAGAATTCCGTGGACTGTATAGTCCTTGGGGTAGCAAAGAGTCAGCCAGACTGAGCCACTTTCACTTCACTTCCTGAATCATTTTCACGGTTTCCAAAGTCAGCAAACTGCTCATTTATTTAGTGTATTGTTCTGCACAAAGATAGATTTTTGAACCCTTCTTGCCCCCCGATGGCTTACACTGGAAAAGAAGAGCCAGAACTACTTATCTCCGATGTAGTTTTTAGTGAAAAGCAAATGTTTGCGGGAATTCTAAAGAGTAAGAAATTATTTTCATTTAGGGGATCAGAGAATGTCCTCTCATATTTAAGGTGAGTTCCAAAACTTGGTTATACTGAAGGGGTTCAAATGGGAGATACTGCCATTCTGGGTGGTAGAACAGGCGAGCCAGGACAAGGTAGGTTGCAACAGAGCACCAGGGGCCAGTTGGACTGGTGTGCTTCAGGTGTGGAGCGATCTCTACAGAGACCATAGACCAGGAAATTGGGTATTTGTCCCATGGAAGCTGGGAAGAAGTTAATTAGTATTTTCTGAGCAGGGCAAAATCAAGATCAGAAATGTCTGAGCTACTAGGTTGGTCTGGTAGCCTGCCTATGTTGAAGAAGAGAGTTGGGGTTAGGACAGTGATTCCCAACTCTTATCCCAAGCTCCATATTTTTTAACAAAGCAAGCTGTATTTAAGTGCACTTAATTTGAGACATAGGTAGATAAGTCTTTCTATCTTGCCAGTTCAGGCTTTTGACCATCCTAAGAATATCCTTGTAACTGCCCTAAATATGAAATAAATGCAGCTAAAAGCACAAGAATATGGCAATCTAGAGTGTACGGCCTCTAGGAGACTTGATATGGAACCTAGCTCTCTGAACTCTTTTATCTCTTGAAACTTCTTGAGTCCCTTTAATGTGGAGTTGTGCCCACTGGTCTAGATAAGAGGTAATTAACGATGTGTAAGTTATGAGAGGGACAGTAAGGGAAGCGGGAAGGATTGCAGGGAAAGAAGATAACAGATAGAAAGGAAATGACTTAGTCCCTGAATAGAAGAGCGTAGCCAGTGTTGGGGAGGTGGTACCGATGGAGCTGAGATGACAGGAAACAGTGCTGATAAAGGAATGCTGCCTAGTTTCTCCTATAGTCAGCAGACAAGACTTCATGGAGGGGGCTGAACCTGTACTTGCTATGTGCATGGCAGCCTGGCACTGTTAATCACTTTACAAGAATCAATTCATTTCATTCTCTCAGCACCCCTATGAGAAGTGATCACTGTTATCCCTGTTTACAGAAGGGGAACCTGAAGCACAGAGAGATTAAATAGCTGTCCCGAGGTCACCCAGCTGATAAATGGTGGAGCCAGGATGTGGATGCAGGAAGTCTGACTCCTGACCTAGAGCTCTAACCCCCCTACTGTAAGGAGAAAACAAAGACATTAGACGATCAGATGGCAGGTTTGATTTAGGCTGTCCTGAGTTGAGATGCGTGCAGGAGGACCAGGTGACTGTGTGCAGTGGACACAGTGTCTGCCTCATTTGGTGCTCAGACCTTCTGGGGTAGACAGGGTCCTGTGTTCCTGGGCTTGCATTTTCCCCATGGGCCAGGTGTTTACATTTCTCTTTCGAAACTTCCAACAGGATTTAGTGTCATCTTCAAACTAGGGAAAGTCAGAGAAATCCTAGTATCCTTTATATCTGGTAAGGTCCCCCTTTATTGCCCTTCAGTACAGAGCAAAACTACTCGAAGGCTTTGGGTTTAATTTCAGGAGCAGAGCTCACCAGGGATATATCTATTTATAAGGGGAGGTATCATCGTTGTCCAGTCACAAAAGCAATTGTTTTCCCACCTGTACCCTTTCATGTTTTTGTCCTTGTTCTGCTCTGTTTCTAGCTTCAAGAGCTCACTTCAGCCAGGATCTTAGGGGATACAGAAAAAGTAGAAGTGATCTCTATACTCTGGAAGTTTATGCTCCTATTTGGGGAGATGAGACTAACAGTTATGAAAAACGAACACAGTAGATAGTCCATAATATTGCATTATGTGGGTCAAATTTAAGCACAGTGGGCATTGGTGTTTTGGGGTTTTTTTGGTGCGCTAGGTCTTCGTTGCTGTGTGTGGACTTTCTCTGGTTGTGGTGAGCAACTAGAGAGGCTACTCTTCCTTGCAGGTGTGCAGTCTTCTCATTGCAGTGGCTTCTCTTGTTGTGAAGCACAGGCTCTAGTTGCAGCTTTGGGCTCTAGAGCACAGGCTCAGTGGATATGCTCAGGCTTAGTTGTTCTGCAGCACGTGGAATCTTCCTGGACCAGGGCTCGAACCTGTGTCCTCTGTGTTGGCAGGTGGATTCTTACCTGTTGCGCCACCAGGGAGTCTGGCATTGGGTTTTTAAAAGTGACCTCAGAACTATAATATACTCTCTTGTTAATTACAGACATCACTAAATTTTCACTAAGCCAAACATCTTTTGTATCAGTTCAGTTCAGTTCAGTTGCTCAGTCGTGTCCGACTCTTTGCAACCCCATGAATCGCAGCACGCCAGGCCTCCCTGTCCATCACAAACTCCCGGAGATTACGCAAACTCATGTCCATTGAGTTGGTGATGCCATCCAGCCATCTCATCCTCTGTCGTTCCCTTCTCCTCCTGCCCCCAACCCCTCTCAGCATCAGGGTCTTTTCCAATGAATCAACTCTTCGCATGAGGTGGCCAAAGTATTGGAGTTTCAGCTTCAGCATCAGTCCTTCCAGTGAACACCCAGGACTGATCTCCTTCAGGATGGACTTGTTGGACCTCCTTGCAGTCCAAGGGACTCTCAAGAGTCTTCTCCAACACTACAGTTCAAAAGCATCAATTCTTCGGCGCTCAGCTTTCTTCACAGTCCAGCTCTCCCATCCATACATGACCACTGGAAAAACCATAGCCTTGACTAGATAGACCTTTGTTGGCAAAGTAATGTCTCTGCTTTTTAATATGCTATCTAGGTTGGTCATAACTTTCCTTCCAAGGAGTAAGCGTCTTTTAATTTCATAATTGTCACCAAATACTGTCTGATTATGTTTTATTTTCTTCTTCAATTGTTAGATTTTGCATGTGTGGCTTCAAATTTTCATGTCCTCCAGCTCAAAAATTAATAGTGCTTCTATAACTGATTAAATGGCAGAGGTGGGAGATGAACTAGGTAGCCTCCTGTGGAATCTAGGCTTTTAACCAGGATGCTTGATGCCTCTCATTGCCTATTTGGGGCAACTTCTTGGCTTTTTTATGCTGGTTATGAACAGGTACATTCTCTGCCAGGTGGTGAGGGATCCTTTTACCCCAAATGAGTGTTTGCTAGGTTCGTTGTCTCAGCAGAGATCTCTGTGGAAGTCATCATCCAGCTATAATCTGGACACTTCATTCAATCGCTCACATATCCATCACTTTTTAATTGAACACAAGGTGTCCAACAGAGCACTCAGTTCAGGGAAAGCAAAGACAAATGATATCTATTTCCTGTCCTAGGGGAGCTTGGTCTAGTGGGGAGGAGGTGAATGTAGTATTTGTGATGTGATTTACTAACGCCAGGGAAACAGGGGAAAACTGATCAAAACTAGAATATGAAAGGATAGTTAAACAAATCTAAAGATAATTATGTAGCTTACACTGAAACCTTTTAAGACTTAAATACTGGTCTTAGGGAAGATTCTTGCTCAACATATGAAGTTATGGAAAGAGATAAGAATGTCCCTTTTCTCCTGACCGTATTTCAACTCGAGTAATGTATTTGACTTTGCTGGATTAGGTTCATATTCTTTCTTCTGCTGTTTTTCATCCCTGCTCTCTGAGGTTGCAGACTGCCTTGGTCATCTGTATAGATAAGCCAGGAGTCCTTTCCAGTGGTATTTTCCTAGAACATTACTCTCTTGTCTCCCATCTCTCCTGTCTTTAAAATACAGTTTCCTCCTTTATAGTGTAAAGCTCTCACATTTTACATTCCTCTCATTTGCTCTGTGTTTATACACTTGTAAGCATTTTTCACAGTTCTAAACTGTGTAGGAATGGACTTTGCCCCAGAGTTTTATCATTAATTGACATTTCTTGAAGACAGGAAGGACATTGTATGTTTTCCAGACATTTCAGCAGCTCGATGGCCTCCCCAAAGAAGAAGCTCCAAGGTCTTGTTGCTGCGACCATCACGCCGATGACCGAGCATGGGTAACTACGGTTTGGGATTAAAGGGATCTGCCTCCACCATAATGACCAGAAGGTCTCTATAGTAGTGGTGGCTTGGACTCTGCAGCTTCCACCCCTACAGTGTCTCTGACCCCAGGTCAGAGAAGAGGTCTCTATATCACAGGCAATGCAGAGGGAGATGAGATAATATATGGCAGCTCACCTTCCTCCCAGTGTCTGTAGCCCCAAAAAGCAAAAGTCTGCTTGCATTTCATCAGAGCCCTGCCCATCCCAAATAAGACCAGTGGAGTTGGGTGAGGAAAATCTCATTTTAGCAGGATTTTATATCAAGCTCTGGCCCCTAGAAGCTGTATCTAGACTGTGCATGGATGTGATGAAATGTCGTACCCTGAAGAAAGTGGGGATGGTTTCTGCCAGATGGCCCCCTTAGGCATGTTTTACACACTCATTTCAACATTGGTTAAATAATGGGGAGCTTGCAAAAGGGAGGTAATAACAGATGATTGCTGAGAAATTGTTACCCAAGCAAGCATTTTCCAGATGAATAGTATGGTGGTACTAGCAGAGAATGGTCATGTGCCCCGGGCATCCATGAGCAATATATAAATCCTCCCTGAACATTATCATTAACACAGTGGGGATTCATCCGCCTTCTGGATCTGTTTTTGATGTTAGAAGAAAAGCTTCTCCATTCTTCCTCTATTTAATTGCAGCCATACCTACTTTATGAAGTTATGAGTATTAAAATGAGATAATCCATGTAATAATGTTTAGCACAGGGTCAGCATGTGCTTAGGTTAATTAGTTTGAATTGCTGTTGTGGCATAAGGGATAAGTGAAAGATGACGTATTCAGTAAGCATTTAAATAAGACTTTTATGTTTTGGGTCTTCTGTTACTGAATTTTTACAAACCGTAACCCTATCCCTTTAAAGTGGATGACATTTCTTATGACATTTACTCTTTTTAATTCAGAGTTGGCCAGATACTGAAGTATCACAGTTTTCCCTTAGGTTATTGGAGTTCAAACAGTTTAACTTCTAAGATTCTCAAAAAAATCACATCTTTACTAGGTCTAAGTAAAATTCTTGCTGAGATGGCATGGTTAATAGCAATTCTTTTTTGTTGTTGTTGCCTCTCCATTTCCACAAGCACTAAGAAAGACTGAAGTCAGCTCTTTCTCGATGTGTCAGCTACTTGTTGGGCAGATAAAACAGCAGTCATATGATTGCACGAGCAGACAGGATTTACTTCCTGTTATGGAGCAAGATCCTGTTTGCAAGCTCAGAACACTGCATCTGGTTGGTGCTACTTTAACCTTTTTAAGCAGATCCCTCTTAGCCTAGAAGTGGCTTCTTCAAAGTCCTGCTTGTTCATCTGGAAGCCTCAGAGTGTCACTGTGTTCTCACGCTGTCCTGCTGTTTTCCTGGGACACCAGGACCCACACATATTAGAGATAACTAAAATGACTCTGTTTTTCCAGATCCTTCTCTGTTTCCCAAATACTTCTAGCCCTGTTGCCTCCATTCACTATTTCCTCTTTTTTTCAATGAATTCTTTTCTCTTCTAGGACCCTCACTTTCCTGAAGTATGAAATAAAAATGTGTTTTTAGAAGGGCCTTGTAAGAAATTAAATCAAAATGTGTGTAAGTACATGGTACATAGTAGGCATGTAAGTCTGGTCAGTTCCCTTTTCTCTCCATCTTTCTGCTCCATCAAAACATTCCTATAGCTATGAAGCAGGTTTGGAGCACCCACCAAGAGCAGGTAGATATTAACCTACTTGCCCACACGAGAATCTGTTTTTCTGACATGTTTCTAAGAGACAGGACAGAAGGAAGAGCCACATGGAATCTAACACCTAGAAATTCTGCCCCATGACCTACCAACATAGGAATTTTCGTAACCTGGCTCTTAGAGTAAACCATGGCCTCCATGATTCAGAATGGCTGAAGATTCTTTTTTCTTCATAATTCTAGTAGTTCAACTCTGAATATAAGTTGATGTCCTAAAGTGAGGAAGTTGGCAGGAAAAAAGACATGGTTAAATAGATTTTAGTTAGAGTATCTGGGTTCCTAACCCCCAGCTCTGACACCACTAACTATCTGACCCTGGGGAGCTCTAGTCACCTTGTAAAAGTTCTCTTATATTTTGTAAGGAGACAGAATTCAACCACATAATCTCTAAGGCCCATTCAAATGCTAAGAGTCCGCAGTTCTCTGGTATTAGGTTATTAGGGATAGTGTGGTGATCTCCACTAAGTAAGAATTTCTGAGTACCTGCAACTCCAGTCCATCCTTCACACTGTAGTCCAATGAGTTTCCTCATAAATAAATATCATTTAATGGACATGAACTTGGGCAAATTCCGGAAGATGGTGAGGGACAGGGAGGCCTGGTGTACTGCAGTCCATGAGGTCACAGAGCCAGACGTGACTTGACGACTGAACAACAACAACAAATTGGATTTACTCCCGGCTAATTCATTTCAATGTATGACAAAAACCACTGCAATGTTGTAAAGTAATTAGCCTCCAACTAATAAAAATAAATAGAAAAAAATAAAATAAAAAAAAGATTTACTCCCTAAGAATCTCTCTGAATTCCATTTTGTCTAAGCCTTGCTACTCGCCTGGTCCATGGACCATTAGCTCCAGCATCACATAGAACTTGCTAGAAATGCTGTATCCCAGGTGCTACTACATACCACTGAACTAGAACCTGTATTTTACCGGTATCCCTGAATGATTCTTTAGCACGTTGAAGTCTGGAATGAACTGGTCTGAAGGTTAAAGCCCAGAACCTGGGATGACATAGGAAGTCCTTTACAGTCTGCCTTTCCTACTACATTTCTTTTCCTCAAAACATCTCATCCCCTTTCTTCTCTGTGTGCCTTTACACATTTTGTATCCTCTTCCTTTTTCTACCACCATCCTCTTTCTCTGCTCCATTTGAACTTGCTTATTCATCCATCAGGACCATCCCCTGGTTATTCTTCTCCAGTTTTCCCTGAAAAGAGTATTTATAGAGTCCTTCCTCTATGGCCTCATAGCACCCTGTGCCTACCTTTTCATATTATATCACAATTGTTTGTTTATGATAATTATTATAATAACTGTTTGTTACATGTGTGTTTCTACCAACAGATTTTTTTTTTTCTTCAATCTGGCTGTGCCGGGTCTTAGTTGTAGCGTGTGGGCTCTTCTATCTTTGTTTCAACATGTGGGCTCTTTAGTTGTGGCATATAAACTCTTATGTTGCAGCATGTGGGATCTAGTTCCCTGACCAGGGATCAAACCTGGACTCCCTTCACTTGGAGCCTGGAGTCTTAGCTACTGGACTAACCAGGGAAGTCACCCAACAGGCTTTGAGCTGCTTACCCTTATATATAGATATTTATTGGGTACCAGACACTGCATAGGGACTGAGCATATATCTTATTTATCTTTGAATCTTCAGCATTTCACACAGCATATGGTAAATTTAGTTAGCTGTAATTCCTCTCCTCATGAGGAGAGGAAGCTAACCTTGATTGGCTGAACACTATGTATTAGTCTTCATGCGGGGCATTTTAAGGGACATATTCCATTTAAATCTTCCCAGCAACTCAGAGAGGTGTTACCTCTATTTGTGCAGTTGTTGAAACCAAGATCCTAAAGAATAATGCCTAACTGGAAAGGAAGGTCAATCTCTACCTAGCCCAATTCATGTCTTTTTCTACAGCAGAGTGAAGGACTCTTGTTTTCCTTAGTTGCTTCAAGAAGTCACTTTTTCCACTGGGCAAGTTCACAGTCATTAGAACAGAGAGTCCATTTTAGATTGGCCAAAATGTCTGGAAAAAAGTTGTGTTTTCTCCCTCGAAGGCCCTGGACTTCCTCATGAGAATCTTTACAACACCCTTTAGTAACAACAAACCTGTTACACAGCTAGTCAAAGGGCCCAGCCCACTGGAGATGGATTTGTGTAGACTGTTGTCTTCGTAACTGTTGTGGGAGACTGAGTGACCCAGATTTCCGGAATAGGATGCTTTCCACCTCTGGCAGGGTGAGGTCATTATAGCCCCTGAATGCTCCTCTCCAAAAGGAGTTTTTAAGTAACTGGGTAGTTATTTTGCCAAAGAGGATGAGTAGCTTCCATCTGATTCTGAAAGCTGAAGTATACATGGACTAGTGTTAGAGGGAACATGTTAGTCACTCAGTCATGTTTGACTCTGTGTGACCTCATGGACTGGAGCCTGCCAGGCTCCTGTGTTCATGGGATTCTCTAGGCAAGAATACCAGAGTGGGTTGCCATTGCCTTCTCCAAGGGATCTTCTGGACCCAGGGATCGAACCTGGGTCTCCTGCATTGAAGGCAGATTCTTTACCTTCTGAGGCACCAGGGAAGCCAAAGGAACAAATTAGATTAAACCAAAAGAAAGCATATCAAAGTGAGTAGAGTGCCTACCAGGCCTCAGTCACCTGGAGCTCTAGAGGTTCCTCCTTGCTGAAAAGGCCAGGCCTGCTCTTGGTGTGTGAGTGTGTGGCTCCGGTGGAACTGGGGAGATGTTGAGACTTCAGTGAACGTCTGCAGGAGCCACTGTGTCTGAGCCCGTGACTCCAGCATAAGCTATTGCCCAGAGACTTTATTTCCGGTTTCCAGTCCGTGATTGGAAAGTCCCTGGGGCCTGCCAGAGGTGTTTCCTGCTTGCATGAGTAGGTGGACATACTGGTCAAAACTAGAGCTCCTATCTCACAGACAAAGCCCCTGCTGATGGTTCCTGCACCTCAGGACTTGTTCCAGGTGGGGAAGAGCCGACGGAAGCAGCAAGGAGCAAGTGTGTTGTAAATGTGTGGTTCCGAGTGGTCACAAATGTCTGAAACAGAGAGACTTCAAGAAGTTGAGCGGGTCAAGCTGACCTAAATTCGAGTCCTGAGATGAATTGTCTAGGCAGCCAACTCCCCCATCTTAGAGTCTTGCTCAGTGAGACTGAGAGGCCAGGATTTGACATTTGAGCAAGTGGGGCAGGGAGGGGCAGTGTTAACGATGCTGGGACATGAGCCATTATGGAAAGTGCCTGCTCCCCTTGCAGGCCTCTTAACTACATTAAAGCACGCCTTTGCCCAAGTGGCAGCTTGGACTGGTTGTCTCTCACGCATTGTGGGCAGTGGTTGCCTAGGCATTCTTTGTTTTCATCTCTATTGTTCTGTTTCCTTTGACAAATACCCTTTGATGTCTTTGTTTTCTATATGCCTCAGATATTTTGGTTTCTTTTTGTTTTTTTAAGGAATAATAAGATGAAAAGAATGTTAATAAGGTTAAAATTAAATTAGTATTCTCTGGCCCCACTGACAAAAATGCAAAAGTACTAGCCAACTCATATCAATACTTAGTTTTCTTGTCAACCACGCATTCTGCAACATTTAACACACCCTTGCCCCACTGTTTTCCTTTGTGTTTTCATTCTCCATCCTCCCCACCTATATTTTGATTGAGAACAGGTCACGTTATCTGATCTGTCAGTTTCTAGATTTTTAAACTCAACATGATTTTAAGGAAAAGAGCCCTTATTGCCTGAAGTATCAGATCTTTACAGGGTCAGTACTTTTCAAACTGAAAAGTGCATACAGATCATCTGGAGATCTTGTTACAGTGCAGATTCTGACCAGGAGAACTGTGTGTGGCCTGGGACTCTTCATTTCCAGCTAATATAACCAGATACTGATACCGCTGTCCCACTTTGAAAGACAAACTGATGCCGAAGTTCCCTTCCAACTGTTATTCCCCTTCAGTTTAACACTAACATTATAAATGGCTTTACGCCTTCCTCTATTGTCATAAATATTAAGTGCTAAGTTCTTCAATTACTAAGATTGGATGTTCTTACTTCCTAAGGAATGATTGCTTCTAGCCACACAGAAAATGTTAAGTTCTCATTTACCCACACCCCAGCCCATCACTCGTCCCCAAAAGGGCAAAAGATAATTAAGTAATTGTTTTTTAAATATTACTTGTGATGCAGTTTAAATGTAAAACCTTTGTGGATAGCTAATAAGGTTTTGCTCACATCATTGAGGCACATATGGCTGAGTAGAGAAGAAAAAAACCCAGGCATCATTCAGAGCAGGCTAAGAATTTCACAGTCTGGTTGGGTGGATTTGAATAACGATTAACAAGAGAGAGCAGTTTATAGTCACGGTGGCTCAGCTGTTAAGAATCTAACTGCCAATGCAGGAGATACAGGTTAGATCCCTGGGTCAGGAAGACCCCCTAGAGGAGGAAATGGCAACCCACTCCAGTATTCTTGCCTGGGAAATTCCATGGACAGAGGAGCCAGACGGGCTGCAGTCCATGGGGTCGCAAAAGAGTCAGGTACCACTTAGCGACTAAACAATAACATGGATTGAATAATCTAAAAAAGAATAAATGTGCATTCTTTTCTGATTTTTTTGTGTTTTTCAGAGAAATCAACTTTTCAGTCATTGGTCGGTATGTGGACTACCTTGTAGAGGAACAGGGAGTGAAGAATGTCTTTGGTAAGTCATCTTTAGGGATTTCTCTACTATCTCGAGCTCAGTCCTTGGAAAGCAGATTACTAGCCTGGAGGTCACAGTGTTATTGTGTTATAAATTATGGTTGAGCCTGGCTAAGCAGTATAAAATTTGTGAATTTTTAGGTTCATCAATTTTAGACCTAAAAAATGATCAAGAGATTATCTAATTTGGTAGTGTGCTTGAGATAGGCCAGGAACTGGGACCTTTTACCAGAGCACTTGCACCTATAGCAACAGACTATAAAGAGACTATAAGGGACTAAATATCGCTATGCACATGTGTAGTTGGGGCTAATTATGAGCAATAAGATACAAAAAGTCAGGAGCCAGTGGCCACTTCTGAGATGCCGGGAGCAAAAGCAGGGTGCTGTACACGATCCCTGCACACAGCACACCGAGGGAGTGGGCAGACCACTTGTGCCTCCTGCCCAATCCACGGACCGCCCTCTTGTGACCCCCTTTAAGGACCGGCTCGCCACTGTGGGGAGCGAGCAAGGTGCCTGTTTCTGGTTCCTCCTCCCTCCGGCTGCAACACGAGCCGCCATAAAGCCTTGCCTGAAATTCTCATCTGGCCTCTTACCAAATTCTATTGATTAAAGAGTCCAAGGACCCAGGTCTATAGACGGAGGTCGTTTTAGATCTGCAGTACCCACCATTGTCTTTGTAAGTAAACGCCACTTAGGACCGCTGGGACATCCCAGTACTGGGTGGTATTGGTTTTCCTGCCATTAAACCCACATAGAGAACTTGCCTGGTGTGTTCGGAGACTTGCCTGAAACCTGGGCAGTCATCTCTGTCTCCATTTAAAACACTTACTCTTTATCCCTGAAAACAAGGACAGATTTGTAATTACAAGTCGTGCCTAACCTTCCCGGTCCTTTTGATAAGATGAAGATGAACAAAAGACTGGGTCTGAAGGGAAAAATGGAAACATGGTATCACACCACTGGCTCCAGACTCTGTCCTCGGGTCTGTCTCCGTGTCCCTTCCTCTTGAGCAGGGATTTCTGCCCCTGCACTTGCCAGCGTTGGTGCTGGGGGAGTGACAGGTATCATCTGGTCCCCCTGACTGACTCTCTGTTTGGAACAGTGAACGGCACGACAGGAGAAGGCCTATCACTGAGCATCTCGGAGCGCTGCCGGGTCGCGGAGGAGTGGGTGACGAAGGGGAGGAACAAGTGAGTGGCTCCATCGAGATAAACACCCTTATCTGCCAGGGCAGCAGAGACCACAGCTCTATCCCAGATGACACAGCCTCCCTGCCTTCCGGCCACAAGTCTGACCCAAGGTCAGCTTGTGGGGAGAGGAGCACCCTTCCTTTCCACGTGGAAGGGCAGCAAGACACTCCCGGCTTCCGGAGATCCCATCGGGTAACCGGAAACTGCTTCTGGTCTGTCTACCAGGCCAGTCCCTCGGAGGGCGGCGGGGTTCCCTGTGCTTGGACTGAGGGGCAGAGGGTCCTGGTGATTGGCTGCTGGCCCTTCTGCGGAGCAGCTCAGCATCCTTCCTGTCTCAGGGTGGGTCCTATTGCTTCCATCACGTCTTGTCTCTGCACGTGAGTCTGCGTGCTCTCTGTGGTGCTTCCTCTCATAATCTTAGGGAGCTTTCTGCGTCCTCTAAACTTAAGTGCAATGATGGATTTTTGTCATAGCACTCAATTCGTGCCTTGGTAAAACCAACAGGACTGCATTGATTCAATAAGCACATCCACGAACCAAGTTTGGTTCGTTGTCTGTTACTTTGTGTGTTATGCACTGTGCTGGCACTGGGGATATAAAACAGGATCTCTGCCTTCAGGTTGCTTACCATCCAGTGGAGATGTTAGACCCTGAAAAATAACACTGATCCTTCTGATAAATAGTGCAAACAGGGATCAGAGTGATTGACAGTGCCTTAGATTGGAGATAAGTCTCTAATCCTTAAATGGCTTTAGAGCACCTTGCATGCATGCTAAGTCACTTCAGTTGTGTCCGACTCTGCAACTCTATGGACCATGGCCTGCCAGGCTCCTCTGTCCATGGGGTTCTCCAGGCAAGAATACTGGAGTGGGTTGCCGTGCCCTCCTCCAGGGGATCTTCCCGACCCAGGGATCAAACCCGAGTCTCTTATATCTCCTGCATTGGCAGGTGGGTTCTTTAACACTAGCGCCACCTGGAAAGCCCTTGGAGCACTTTGGGCACTCTGAAATTGTACGCCAAATTTGAATGTCCACATAGGCATTTTCTGTCAGTTTTCAACTAATTTTCAGTCAGATCCTGGGCCCCAAACAATTAAAGACCATGGGCAGAGTGAGACGAGGAAAGCTAAGGGTAAACATTAAGAAAAGCACCAGAGGAAATTCCCTAGTGTTCCAGTGGTTTAGGACACTGCGCTTCTACTGCGGGGTTGCAGATTCGATCCCTGGTTGGGGAACTAAGATCCCATATGCCTCCCAGTGTGATCAGAAAAGAAAAGCACCAGAAATGGGGGGATAGTAAAGTGGGCACAGACAGAAAACACTCAAAAGGGTTGGAGGGAGATTAAGAGAGAGTCCTGTCACTGAAGGAAAGATGGTCTTGTAGAGCGTCCAGAGAACATGGAAATTAAGAGCAGGGCTTGGAGGCCAGACTGCCTGAGTCGGGTGCTAGCTCTGCCTCTTAGTAGCTCTGTGAGCTCAGGCTGGTCTTAAACGCCCTGTGCTCTTTCTATCAAGCAGGAATGTTAATAGTACCCATCCTATAAGGTGATGATGAGGGTCCAAGCAATGCCTGACACAGTGCTAAGTATTATATAAGAATTCACTAATTATTTGCAGTGGGTGCCGTGTCCATTATAACATTTGTTTTAATAATTGTTAGATGTTGTGAGAGTCCGCAAATGGAGGATTGAGAAGGCAGGAAATGACCAGTGACCTCAGAGAGAGCAGAGCCCATCGGGTCATTGTCACAGAAGCAAGTGCAGAGAAGGTAGAATGCAGCAGGCACCTGGAAGGGGGACCAGTAAGGGTAGCTTATTCTCACACTCGAAAAACATTTGCAGGTGGGGACTTTCCTGGTGGTCCAATGGCTAAGACTCTGAACTCCCAATGCAAGGGGGCCCAGGTTCAATCCCCAGTCCAGAAACTAGATCACACAGACCACGACCAAGACCTGGCACCGAGAAATAAATTTTAAAAATACTTATTTTAAAAAATGTGTTGGGATGAAGGGAAGAAGAGATGGGATAATGGATTTGAGAGGAGGAAGCAAGATTAGAAGAAGGGTGGTTTTCTTTCTCTCAGAGTAGGAATGTCTTAAATACATTTCCATGCTGAAAGGACAGTGCCATTGGAGAAGAGATAAAGAGAGTGGAGAACCGATGCCTTTGATGGAAGATCTCGGCGGGGCTTGAAATAAAACCAAATGTAGGTAGAGTAGCTTTAGGAGACAGGTAAGAAGCTGGGAGGAACACACAGCACGGGACACAGCTAAGCACAGAGGTGAGGAGGAGGAAAAGGGAGTCTGTGTGCAGAAGTGCCTTTATCTTTGGTGTCTTGGAAGCAAGGAGCAAGGACATCTGCCAAGAAAAAGGGGTTGTGGGGTAGAATTTAGAGCTTGAGGTGACAAGTCAAGACTTGGAGCAGCCTCTGCAGAGACTTGAAAAATGAAGTAAGTCATGATGGTGAGAACACTTTGGGGAGTCTTTTCCTCCTGAATTGAGAAATTACAGGTTTGTACTAAAGCCAGAGAGTCAGCAGCCTGCTGGAGAGGAGAAGGAAATGCATGATTGTTTTGACCTAAGCCAGGAGATGGGGTAGTAAAAGGTTTAAGGGTGTCATGCAGTAAAGCTGCTGGTGAGGGTAAAAAGCCAGCCACCTTTTCTCCTTTCACAAATCTTCTGTTATCCTTTGCAAATGCAGATCTGATCACAGGGCTTCCCAGTGAGATCCCATTTTACCTAAGACAGCACAAGTCAAGGATGACGGAAGGACTCAGTGCTCGGGCCTCAACGGGGATGGCATGTCTCCATCCCGTGAGAACAGCACATATGTCATTCGGGGTCCCTGGAAGACTCACCAGCATGACTGAATTCACAACTGAGTTTTATTGATCCTACCAACAGAGGACCAGTCTAAGTGTGACTTCTTCCCAGGGGGCCCTGTGGCACACATCCAAAGATGAACATTGGGGTCTCAGAGTAAACCTTTTTCATGGCCATATCCCTGAGGACTTTCAAGATAGGAAAAAACTTTTCACAGAGAGTTCCTTTCTTGCAGGACTGATTCCTGGATGTACTTCTTAAGGAACCTCTTTATTTTTATCTCCAACCCAAAATATCTCAGTTTTACACCTATGTTCATGTGTACTGTCACCATCGAATGCAGTATCTCTAACAAGGCATAGGCAAAGCAAGTCCTCAAGTACTGGTTAATCTGTTATTGCTTTCAAAATTCTATTGCTTCAGTTCAGTTCAGTCGCTCAGTCATGTCTGATTCTTTGTGACCCCATGGACTGCAGCAGGCCATGCCTCCCTGTCCATCACCAACTCCCGGAGTTTACTTAAACCCATGTCCATTGAGTCGATGATGCCATCCAACTATCTTATCCTCTGTCATCCCCTTCTCCTCCTGCCTTCAATCTTTCCCAGCATCTGGGTCTTTTCAAATGAGTCAGTTCTTCACGTCAGATGGCCAAAGTATTGGAACTTCAGCTTCAATATCAGTCTGTTGCTTGGTTGAATCTTAAATTGTATTCCCTGGACTTTTAAAAAAAAATCCCTGATCAGATTAATTTTAAGTAGAGCACGGTAGAATTCACTAGTCTTAAGAGTGAGATTAGCCAGATATTAGCTAACTGGTAAAACCGGCACAAACCAAAATAGTACAGCCCTTTGTAAACTTCAAGTTATGCAACAGAGTTTTCTCTTTTGCAGGTTGGATCAGATAGTAATTCATGTGGGAGCCTTGAGCTTGAAGGAGTCACAAGAACTGGTATGTATGTGGGTCCATCTGGGAGAGACCACTTGAGAGGCCTCCATCTTTATGCTGGAGTTAAAGTCAGTATCGTTTTTGCTAAATATTGGATGCTATGCTGGTGCATATAAGGTATAGGACCTCAGGGAAGCCAGCAGGGCTTCCTAGATTAAGTAGTTATTACCTTCAAAATTCTGTTGTTTGGTTGAACCTTAAATTTTATTCCCTGGACATTTATTTAAATCCCTGATTAAATTAATTTTAAATAGACCTTGGTAGAATTTAGTAGTCTTAAGATTGAGGTTACTTAGGTATTAGCTAACTGCTCAAACAAGCACAAACTACAGTTAGGGCAGCCTTTCTGTGTCACTGTAAACTTCAAGTGATGCAACCGTGCTTTCTCTTTTGAAAATTTGATCAGATGTATATATAAATATAAAGAATATATATTCAGATTCTTTTTCATTATAGATTATTATAAGATATTGAATATAGTTCCCTGTGCTTTACACTAGTCCTTGTTGTTTATCTATTTTGTGTGAAGTAGTATGTATCTGTTAATCCAGCATGGATGGACCTAGAGAATATCATACTAAGTGAAGTAAGTCAAATGTATATGTGGAATCTAAAAAAATGATACAAATGAACTTATTTACAAAACAGAAACAAACTCACAGACAATAGAAAACAAATTCATGGTTATTTGGGGTCTTAGAATTACAATTCAGGGAGCACAGATTGCAGCAGCCACCAGAACAGTGCCCTTCTGGGAACTAAAAGGCAGGAATTTTTAAAGGAAAACAGAAGTACACTTAGTTTCCATAAGTTATTTGCCAAGAGCTCTGATTGGGAGGTCTATATCTTCTTTTTTTTTTCTGTTACAATTTATTGACTGGTCAAGTGTGCCTCAGATATGCAGATGACACCACCCTAAGGGCAGAAAGCAAAGAGAAAGTAAAGAGCCTCTTGATGAAGGTGAAAGAAGAGAGTGTAAAAACTGACTTAAAACTCAGTATTCAAAAAACCAGGATCATGGCATCCAGTCCCATCACTTCATGGCAAATAAATGGGGAAAAATAGAAACAGTGACAGACTGTATTTTCTTGGGCTCTAAATTCACTGCGGACAGTGGCTTGCAACCAGGAAATTAAAAGATGCTTGCTTCCTGGAAGAAAAGCTATTACACACCTAGACAGCATGTTAAAAAGCAGACACATCACTTTGCAGACGAAGGTCCGTGTAGTCAAAGCTGTGGTTTCTCCAGTAGTCATGTATGGATGTGAGAGTTGGACCATAAAGAAGGCTGAACGCTGAAGAATTGATGCCTTCAAACTGTGGTGCTGGAGAAGACCTTGGACAACAAGGAGATCAAACCAGTCAGTCCTAAAGGAAATCAACCCTGAATGTTCATTGAAAGGACTGATGTTAAAGCTGAAGTTCCAACTCTTTAGCCACCTGATGCAAAGAGCCAATTCATTGGAAAAGACCCTGATGCTGGGAAAGATTGAAGGCAGGAGAAAGGGGCGACAGAGGATGAGATGGTTGAATGCCATCATCGACTTGAATGGAGATAAGTTTGAGCAAACTCCGGGAGATAGTGAAGGACAGGGAAGACTGCCGTGCTGCAGTCCATGGGGTCACAAAGAGTTGGACACAACTGAGCGACTAAACAAGTGTGTCTCACTTGTTATCAGTAAAAGCACATTTCTGCACAGTACCCCAAGATGCCTTTCTCAACAGATAGCTACTGTTACTGCTGCTTTTTTTTGTCAGCAGGGTCAGCACAGTTCACAGTTTAACAGGATGGAGCCCTAAAATGCAAAATAACATTCCTATTGACAACCCCTTCCACAAGTTTCAGATTTGCAGGATGAATAAGTTCTATAGATCTGTTACTCAACAGTGTGAATATATTTAGCAGAACTGAACTGTATACTTAAAAATAGTTAAGATGGTCTTTTTTTTTTTAACCTGCAGTTTGTATAATCTTAGTTCCCCGACCAGAGATTGAATGCAGACCATAGCAATGAAATCCTGCAATCCTAACCATCAGGTCACCAGTGAATTCCCAGTGTTTTCAAAAGTCACAATTTTGAAAAATAAATTTTAAAATAATTAAATTTTTTTAAAAGGATTGCCCTACATACACACCAAGAAAACCAGATCTGAAAGAGACACGTGTACCCCAATGTTCATCGCAGCACTGTTTATAATAGCCAGGACATGGAAGCAACCTAGATGCCCATCAGCAGACGAATGGATAAGAAAGCTATGGTACACATACACCATGGAATATTACTCAGCCATTAAAAAGAATATATTTGAATCAGTTCTAATGAGATGGATAAAACTGGAGCCCATTATACAGAGTGAAGTAAGCCAGAAAGATAAACACCAATACAGTATACTAACGCATATATATGGAATTTAGAAAGATGGTAACAATAACCCTATATGCAAGACAGAAAAAGAGACATAGATGTATAGAACAGACTTTTGGATGCTATGGGAGAAGACAAGGGTGGGATGACCTGAGACAACAGCATCAAAACATGTATATTATCAAGTGTGAAACAGATCACCAGTCCAGGCTGGATGCCTGAGACAAGTGCTAGGGGCTGGTGCACTGGGATGACCCAGAGGGATGGGATAGGGAGGGAGGTGGGAGGGAGGTTCAGGATGGGGAACACATGTAAATCCATGGCTGATTCATGTCAATGTATGGCAAAAACCACTACAATATTGTAAAGTAGTTAGCCTCCAACTAATAAAAATAAATGGAAAAAAAAATAATTGAAAAAAAAAAAAGGATTGCCCTAGTGGTGCTAAGAACCAACTAAAGTTTTAAGTCTTAAGTTTGTCACACCACCACTCAACACAGCTGTGGAAATTTTCTTCTCTTACACTCTTCAGTTAGAACATAGGAACAAGGGTGCAAAGAGTTGGATCACTCTGGGTTTAGAGGTGAGCAGGTTAGGTGGAGGAAAACTGTGGCAAGGGAGGAAGGAGTTAAAAGTTGCTAGCAGAAAAGTCAATGGTGTGGTGGTTTTGAAGCCTTTGTGAGTGGATTAAGTAAAGGAAACCCAGAGATTTGTAGACTGGACTGCTGTCAGTTAACTGTTGACTGAAAAAAATGTGCAGCCGAAAAGGCAAAAATTTTATTTTAATCAGCGTACTTAACTGAGGACTCCGGCCTTGGGTACAGCCACTCAGCTAGCTCTGAGGGACTGTTCCAAAGAGGCAAAGGAAGAACCTGGATGTGGAGGAGTTTTTGGCTGAAAAAAACAAAAATAAGCCATGTAGTTGAACATCAAAAGATTATAGCTTATCACAAAAGTACATTTCAAGTTAATTATTTTAACTTTAATTATTTTAGTGCTTTTCTTTGTATGGGAAAGTGCACGCGGGCCTATTGAAACCATTCCTTTGATATGCATATTTTTCTCCATCCTGAGTTCTCCTCAGGGCACACTGACCTGGCGGCTGCAGCAGCTGATGGCAATTTGGCCGAAACACTGTTTACTGAAATGGCAGAGATGTTCTTTTTCCACGTAACTTTGATACTCTAATTCCAAGGAGCACAATGACCTGATCTAACTCCACCATCTTCTTGTGGGTTTTGTTTGAGTCTATGAATGCTAGGTTGCTTCAGTTGTGTCCTACTCTTTGCAACCCCATGGACTGTAGCCTGCCAGACTGCCCTGTCCATGGGATTCTCCAGGCAAAAATACTGGAGTGGGTTGCCATGGCCCTCCTTCAGGGGATCTTCCTGGCCCAGGGATTCAACCCATGTCTCCTGCATTGACCGGCGGATTCTTTACCACCAGCGCCACCTGGGAAGCCCTTGTTTGATTCTATTTCCTGGTATTTGAATTAATTAATTAAGTTTTATTTACTTATTTGTCTATTTATTTATTTATTTTGGCCCTGACGTGGTATTTGGGATCTTAGTTCCCTTACTACAGATTGAACCCGTGCCCCCTGCAGTGGAAGCCCAGAGTCTTAACCATTGGACTGTTGGAGAAACCCCTATTAATTGAATTTAGAAATGGGATGCATACTGTATACTTGCAAAACTGCAATTCAACACTCTTAGGCAAGCTACAAGTGAAGGCATTACTAAATGATTGCTTAGTAAGCCTAGAATCAGAACTTGAAAACTTGATTTATTCTTTTTGATTTGTTGTTCTTATAATCGGTCTTTCAAGTAAGGTAGTGTAGTGGAGGAAATTTTTTTTCTCCCCCTTCTCCTTTCAATTGCTTTTTTCTCTGATAGAAGAGGTGTTAGTTGATCAGTCATGTCCGACTCTTTGAGACTGTATGTAGCCCATCAGGCTCCTCTGTCCATGACGTTGTCCAGGCAAGAACACTGGAGTGAGTAACCATTCCCTTTTCCAGGGGATCTTCCCAACCCAGGGACTGAACCTGGGTCTCGTAAATTTTAAAATATTGTCATATCATGACATGAGAGACAGTGTTGTTCATTGGGCTCAACACTAGAATAGTATAAAGACAATCTTAAGAAAAAGATTAATCCCCTGCCGTGGGATAATCTTGCCAAGGAGACAGTAATATTGGCATCTGCTTAGACATAAGTCTCCATTGGATGATGCTTGAATGGGCACTGCCATCAACTATCCATGAAGTGGTTTTTGTCCTTCCTTTTAGCTAAGGTTACCCTACTACTCTTGTCCTAAACAGTGTACTGAATGATTCAAATATATCGCATTTCAATCCTGTATTAATAAAATTCTGTCCAATGTCCTTAACTGGTCTTTAGACTGTATTCCAGTCTCTTTTTGACTCTTCTGCTTTACTTCTGCAGAAAGTTAATCACATCTATTAGATACAGATATCAAAGTTAATGTGATGCCCCTTTTAGGTAATGGGGCGTGTTTCACACATCTACTGGGTACTTGCTATGTGTTCAGCACCATGGCTGATCTGAACCCAAGAGTCAGTAAGATCTGACATCCTACCCTCAGGGAATTAACTCTTGTTGGAGACCAGTAACCATATGCAACTATCTTACAATGTGGTAGGCTTAGGTACTGTACTTGAAATAGATTTTTTAAAAAAGTTATGAGGGCTCAGCGGGAAGAAAAGTTCATTTTTTTCTGAGATAATGTGAGAAAACATCAGAAGAGAAGAACTGTATCTTCTGTGATGTTTATAATCTTTCTACTTAACCTTTTTCAACTGCATTGCTGAAACCATTGTGGCATTTCCGGACGGCGTGAGGGGTTCTCCAAAGAGCTCCTGTCCTTTATGTCTCAGTGCAAGAATTCAGCAAGAGGCAAAATGATAGCTAAGAAGTGATTTAGTTGAATAGGATAAATTGTAAGCTTGTGAGGCTTACAAGAGGGTGGGTGAGAGGTTATCGGGCTATAGTTTTATAATCAGAGGAGAAATGGGGAGGGGGAGAAGATCTTCTTTGTCTTTCTTGAATAGACATCATACTTCCAACATCAGTTCCTCCTTCAGGTTGGGCAGGGGAGTTTTCTTATCCCTTCATGGTCAAGCTAGGTACACAAATTATTGCTTTTCATGGGTGCAAAGAGTGTGTCCTAACTTAACTGAGCTCACTGCGCATGGTGTAGGTCTCATGCTTGTTGTTATTCAGTCACTCAGTCGTGTCTGACTCTTTGCTACTGTTGTAATTGTTTTATTGTTTTGGGTCATGTCTCACGCTTCTGCTGCAAAGCAAGCATGCTTGGTTTTGTGGATAAGCAAACCTGCTTTCTGGAGCAATCATTAACTTAGAGAGTTCTCCCATTTTTTGTCTGCTTATAATCCCCTAGTAGCATTAACTATTTAATCACCTGCTTTGTCCTTTTACTCTGTCCCTAACATTTCCAGTCTGTAATATAAATTTTGAAATGTAACTATTGTTATCTTTGGAGAAGAAAGTCGGTATTATCCAACGGGCTGAACACTGGAAGAGGAATGACATTTGCAAGTTTCTCTATCGGGATGGGGAACACATGTAAATCCATGGCTGATTCATGTCAATGTATGGCAAAAACCACTACAATATTGTAAAGTAATTAGCCTCCAACTAATAAAAATAAATGAAACAAAAACAGTTATAGTTTATCAAAACAAACTGCTCATGTCTCCATAGCAAGTTTTTTTTTTGTAGTGACAAAACCTGCGGAAGGTTCAGGTTAAATACACAGCTCACCTCCTCCAAAGGTCTCTACTTTGCAACCTGGGATTTTCCTGGCAATGACATCATTAAACATGGCTAATTTCCCACTCTAGTGGTACATCAGCTGGCAAATTTGAAAAGCCTGTTGTTAACCTCTAGTATCTAAGTTAGAGGTGAATATAATAAATCTCTTACTCAGGATAGTTGTGATATTGTGATTTATAACAAGAAATATATTGAATTGGCCGAAAAATCATTTGGTTTTTTCCATAAGATCTTATATATTTGATTTTTGTCCCATTTCTGGCACAGAGCTCCTAAAACCCTTGGAATTCCCAGAGATGAGAACAATAAAAGCGTCTCCTGTTATGTTAATGAGGTGATTTTTGGAAAGCACTTAAGGTTGGGAGCTGGTTGTCAAGAACACCAAGCAGTGCTCACTTTGGCAGCACATATACTAAAAATCGGAACGATACAGAGAAGGTTAGCATGGCCCCTGCACAAGGATGACACGCAAATTCGTGAAGCGTTCCATATTTTTGGACAATCAGAGCCGGTCTCTGCACAGGCACGGGCTCTTATTGCACTGGACACATTCCCCACCCATCTTATCTCAGAGGTACAGGAAGTATGTTCTTAAGCATAAAAATCAGAAAAGCTATATTTAACCACCGTGAACAAAATAAAAACAAAAACACTGAGAAAAAAAAAAAGAACACCAAGCAAGTGAATTAAGGGGTTGGAATTTTCATTCTCCGCTCTCTCCCTGCAGGGAGGGAAAGAGGCTGGAATTTGAACCAGTCACCAATGGCCAATGATATAACCAATAATGCGAATGTAGTAAAACCTCATTAAAGATACCAAAGGATGGATTTCAAAGAGCTTGTAGCTTGGTGAACATGTAGAGATTTGGGGAGGGTGGTGCACGTGCACTGGGAGACATGTGGAAGTTTTATGCCCCACCCGCCCGGTGCCCTGTGCATCTCTTTGATCTGGCTGTTCCTGAGTCATATCCTACTTTGTATATATACATAAAGTAGACAGTGGGCTACTTAGTCAGTTGTTTCTCTGATTTCTCTGAGCCACCTTAGCAAATTATTTGATCCTTAGAGGGGGTCATTGGCACCTCCAATCTACAGTCCGTAGGTCAGGAGCACAAGTGATGACATGGCATTTGAAGTGAGGGTAGTATTTCTGCCTGGAGAATCCCCATGGACAGAGGTGGCTGGCAGGCTACAGTTCATGGGGTCGCAAAGAGTCGGTCATGACTGAGCAGCTGAGCACAGGAGGCTGGTCTTATGGGGCTGAGCCCTTAACTTGAGGAAGCTGATTCCATCTCCAGATAGATAGTGTCAGAGTTGACTTGAATTGTAGGAAACCCAGTTGGTGTTTGAGAATTGCTTGTTGGTGTGAAGAAACCCCCACACTCACCCACATTGGAAATGTGACCAATGGTCTTTCTTCTTTTAAAGGCCCAACATGCAGCAGAAATAGGAGCCGATGGCATCGCTGTCATTGCACCTTTCTTTCTCAAGCCGTGGAACAAAGGTAAGTAGATAGGTCTAAACACAATGCCACACATGGCCCATTTCTTTATACCGTCATTCCAAATGCTTGTGTTTAACTCATGAAAGTAAAGTCCTATGAACTGCCATGAAAAGTCTCACGGCATGAGACTGCCGTGGCATAGTAGTTCTCGGGAATTTTCAGACTTCCTGGATCCGTAGGAGAAAAGACTCCATTAAAGGACTTTGGCTCTTTTGCCAAGTAACCTGATCAGGTCATTCACCAAGCCTGGGGTCAACCTACAGGTGCCTGTGTTTCGGTCAGGTGTCCACTTCCTGTCCAGTCAGTTGTGTAGAGTGTCAGAGTTACATGGCAAAGCGTGAGACCATTTTTCTCCAAAAAAAAAAAAGAGGAATATAAGTGATGGGTATTTTGAGACTACATGTACTATTCAAGTAAGTAAGTGGTGAACTGGAAAAAAGATTTCACAGCAATATCCATTGCTTTCAAAATATCAAGTTTTTGTTTTCTGTATGGAAACTGTGGTTTCCAAGTGTACTGAGTCCTTTTAATTCTTTTGATTAGCAAAAATACAATACAAATTTAAAAGGATTAAAAACACAAGATGTTATTTGCATGCAGTTAAATATTTATTGGTAGAGAGAAAATAGTTGTTAATATAAATAAATACTGTAATTTGGAAGTTTAGAGCGAATATTTTTTAAGTTTTTTAACATGGTTTTTAATTTTTCTTGCATAAATACTTTACACAAAAGACAAAAAATAATACATAATTTTGTCAGAAATATTTATCATAGATAGAAAATATCATCACAGCATTCAGATGAAGTATGTTGGATTCCTTCTCCCGCTATTCAGTGGCATCCAAATGTAAGCAGTCTTGCTGGATTTGTTTATCATAAATACCTATATAAACAGCAGTGAAGTTGCTGTTGAAGCTCAAATTGGATGATGTAGGAAACCCCAGTTCTTCAGTAAACCAAACTGAACTCTCTTCTGGAAAATATAAATTTCTCTCCAAAGGGGGAAAGTACCAAACTTTGGTTGAAATGTGCCATTACTTTCATGTCTTCCCATTTTGAGCAGATGTTGTTTTATCTTTTTGTTGTAGGATTTTCTCAATTACAACTTTATTCTGATCTTAATGCAAAGTCTTTGCTATTCACTGACCACACTTACCCTGCTGGGTAAGAGGAAGAGGATCCTGTTTGATGGGCTCCTGGTTTTTGTAAGAGTATTTCATGACTTCTCTTAGTATGTGGGAAGATTTGCACCAGTTTTTTTGTTAGTATTTTAGTATAGTAGGAAAGTGAACCTCTTATTTTGGCCCTTCTGGAGAGAGGAAAATAAAACTTTGCATGAAATGAATTGCAGTAGCAATCTCAGAGATAGTAAGCATGGTCAAGAATTTTCAGCCTCCGAAATAGATGGTTGCATGTCACTCGATGGCTCTTTTTCTACTGGGGAAAAGCAGTGTTTTACATTTGTTTACACCATGACTGTTCTTTCAGATGCCCTGATTAATTTCCTAAAAGAGGTCGCTGCTGCCGCCCCTGCATTGCCATTTTACTACTATCACATTCCTGCCTTGACCGGGGTAAAGAGTAAGTCCTGCTTCTTTCCATGGCTCTTTCCCTTCACTTTTCACATCGTACCCTATTTCACTAACAAACTCCCACACTCCACCCCATCCCACCCCACCCCATGTCACGAAAGCCTCAGACTGTAGACTAAGATAGTTCCAACTGCTCCAAAATCAGTCACTCATCAAAAATAAGTCAGCCTGGGACTGCCCTGGTGGTCCGGTGGTTGAGAATCTGCCTTCTAAAGCCAGGGATGTGGGTTCGGTCCCTGTTTAGGGAATTAAGAGCCAACATGCCACTGGGCAACTAAGCCTGTGCACTGCAACTAGAGTCTGGGTGCCGCAATACCCAGCGCAGCTGGAAAAAAAGAAATGTCAGTCCTCCTCAGTCATCGACACTACCTTATAGTGGAACATTTTAAGTATGAGAGACAAGTTGACCCCTAGGCACTTCTAGTAGACACCTGTGTCTGTGTCACACACCCCTCCTTCTTATATGGGAAGATATAGCCTGCAAATCCCACTAGGACAATTGCCTTTGTACCCTACCCCGTCCTCGGTGCCTGGCACACAAGAAGGTACTCTGATCTCTTCTCACTTTTCTTCTAGCTTTTCTGTCATCGTTATCGTACTTTTCCTGTGTGAAGATTGTTAGATGAAATTTCTTAGGAGGTTATTTTTAAAATGCTGCTCCTCTTAACTTCCTTAAAAGAAAATACTGAAGTTGAGCTTTATATATATGCATCTATTGTTCAAGGAACAGAAGATTTAGATCTGTAATTTGACAAGTACAGATGAACGAGGAGGCAAGGGCAAGTGATTGTATTCAATTGGCAGCCACCTGCAGCTGAGAGCAGCTCCTGGCAGCTCCGTGCAGACGTCTGGGGCTCGATGGGATGTCCTCTGATACTTCCCGAGGGCGTGCAGGTGAACAAGACATTTATTGTTTTGAACAGTTCGTGCTGAGGAGTTGTTGGATGGGATTCAGGATAAGATCCCCAGCTTCCAAGGGCTGAAATTCAGTGACACAGATCTCTTAGACTTTGGGCAGTGTGTGGATCAGAATCGCCAGCGACAGTTTGCTTTCCTTTTTGGGGTGGATGAGGTAAGTCACCTCCTGGCATGTCCCAGCTGGTTAGTTTCCCTCCCAAACAATTGATGTAGCTGCTTATATAGTAGCAACTCTTCTCCTTTTTCATCATAGTAATTATGTCCTTTGCTTCTGTTTTTTTTAAATATATTTTAAATTTTTATTTGCTATTTATACTCAATAAAACTGAAAAAAGTCTATCATAGCCTCATGATGAGGCTTTTGCCATAATCTATTAGAAGCAAGTTATTGGTCCCACCCACTCTCAAGGAAAGGGACTTATTCAGGGGGTAACACTAACAAACAGAGATCAGCTAGGCCATCTTAGAATTCTGTCCATTATAATGAAATAATTCAATAGGTTACTGAACAGTATTTGTATTATTGGCTAACAGCAATTTGGATGTCACTCTCTAGCATGGGGAACTAGGGTAATGGGGAGAAAACTGCTTTATGTGACTATTCCTTGCAAACACTGCACAAATTTATTGATAAAAGTTATAAGAATATACAGTAAAAAAAAAACTGTCATTAAGCAGAAGTTGAATGTAATTATGTAGAGTATGTTCAATGATGTTTATATTTTACATATAAAATATATATTTTATATATATGTATATATTTTTATCTGTCAAAACATAATGGAAGAAAATCTTTGTTTCTGATCAGCAACTGTTAAGTGCTCTGGTGATGGGAGCAACTGGAGCGGTGGGCAGGTAAGCAGGACTCGTTTTCCCCAATGATTATAACTGTAAAATCCCCCCCAGAGCCATTCATCACCTGAGTAGTTGTGTTTATTGCATGTAAACCTTTTCTAAGAGAAGTTGCCCTTCTTTGCCACATTCTCAGCGAAAATGAATTAAGTAGGGCTTAGCACTTTGGTGGGCTTCCCTGGTAGCTCAGATGGTAAAGAAGCTCTAACTCTATCAATAGTATCTTAGACTAATTACTGGATTCTTAGAGTAACCAGCAAGGCAGGGGGTTCTTGAAATTCAGAACCAGGATGTTTTCCCAGTTTCTCATACAGTAACTCAGGATCAGAGAAGTTTTATCTTGTTGTACCGGGAACAGCAATTTCTTACCTCCTCCTCCTCTAATGCAGGAGACCTGGGTTTGATTCCTGGGTTGTGAAGATCCCCTGGAGAAGGGAATGGCAACCCACTCCAGTGTTCTTGCCTGGAGAATTCCTTGGAAAGAGGAACCTGGCGGGCTATAGTCCATGTGGTCCGAAAAAGGCCAATAGGACTGAAGGACTAACTTTCACTTAACACTTGTTTTAAGAAGCAGCTGTTGCAGTTAGAGATGAGGCACACAAGCTGAAAGTATGCACAGAACTTCTTTGTCAGAAATTACCTGGTTACAAATAACAGAAAACCATTCAAACTAGCTTATGTGAAAGAAGGTAAGTTATTGTAAAATACTGGGAGATTTCATACACCCCAAGGGAGGGAGTGCAGTGAGGTCTCAGAGAAGATGAGAACCCAAAACTGCAAAGCTCTCAACCGCAGACTGTTCTCCATCTGTGGTCCTTTGGACATCTCTCTATCTCCATTCTCTCCAGATGGGCTTTCTCTGCTTCAGCATGCACGTGGCCAGTCATGGTGCCTGATTGGGGCATCTCAGGCTGTCACTAGATAGCACTGCCAAGTCAAATGTCCACGTAAAGCCCGATCAGTTGCAACTGGGAGGGCAGAATCATGTGGCCCGATGTCTACTCAGCAGAAGGCCCTGGGACATTCGATTGAGCATGTCCACTGCACATGTTAACCTAATTCATTAGGAATGTGCCTGCAAGCAGATTGAACTATTTATATTAACTGGAAGTGTATTTTCCCCACCGTGAGAAAAGTACAGGGGAAGCAAAGTGATAACTCAGAGCATATCTTGTGAGCATGGCTTTGATGAAGAGTAGTTGAGCTGGATGATCTTAATGGCTCTTTCACCAAGCCAGGATGCCTGAAACAACCATTGTCACACAGGCCGTTTCTACTGAGGAAACCTGAATGCCTGGATCTGCTGACCACGGAAGTTCTTACTTTTTAGACTTTTTTTTTTTTTCTGACCTTCATACTGGGCGTTTTTATTCTGTCAACATAATCTGAAGGCAAAGTACATTTGGTTACACTTCATTTCTTCTTAATTATGATGAACATTCCTCTCTAAGTGAAGACATAACCTGGGACTTCCTTGGTAGTCCAGTAGCTAAGATTTTCCATGTTCCCAATGCAGGGGGCCCAGGTTCGATCCCTGGTCAGGAAACTAGATCCCACATGTTGCAACTGAGACTTCAGATGCCACAACTAAGACCCAGTGCAGCCAAATAAACAATTATTAAAAAAAAATAAAAGCATTTAAGAAAGAATTCCATCATTAAAAAATTTTTTTTCATAAATGAGAATACACCCAAGACCCCTGGGATTCAACTTATAGTATTCCAAGACCCCTGAGACATTTCATGTAACATATTGTGAACTCCGGTGTTTCACATGTGCAAGTAACTTACCTCAGCAATTATATTTATTCTTCCCTATTTTATTACTGGGAGATAATGTGAATTTTACTTTCTTGGAATCCCTTGTATGGACTCCAGGGACTACTTATTTGAAGTACCAAGAATATGCTGTTCCTGGTACAACAAGATAAAACCCTTCTCTGATCCTGAGTTACATTTTGAGAAACTGGGAAAACATCCTTGTTCTGAATTTCAAGAAACTCCTGCCTTGGTGGTTTCTCTAAGAATCCAGTGATTAGTCTAAGATTCTATTGGTAGAGTTAGAGTTTCTTTTTTAAGATGGCAAGAACATCTTATCAGATCAAATAACTAACTCTCACCTCTATTTTTGTTGAAGTGTAATAGAAGGGGATACAAAGGGATGGAAAACCTTCTCGACAACTCTGTAGCCTTTTTTTGAGGCATAGCATCTTCATGGTGAAATGGAAACCACATCTCCCTCACAGGGTTTTGAGAGGATCAGACTTGGTTTATGTCAGGCAGTGAAACATAATAGTCAATAAGAGGTCTCTCATATTATTATTATAATCAGTATTAATATTATTATTAGAAACTAGTCTCTAGGTAGCATATAACTCAACAAAGAATTGAGGTAATCTGCTAGGATTTTCCCCTTTTACTGTGGTGCTCGATTCACCCTGTTCCTCAGCTTAAAGTTTCTAGGATGCACTTTAGACATTGCATTTTATCCACAGTTCTTATCTAGTGTTGCACCTCTGTGTGTGCCCTGGGCCAGGGGTTGCCCTCATTCACTCTTTGCCAAATGTACCTATGTCTTTCACTTTTTTCCAACTCTACCCTTTTTGTATTTTTCCTCCCTTTTCTTCATTCCCTTTAGTGTTCTTTGCCTCCTCTGCACTGCTTAGTATTGCTGGAAAATTCAGAACTAAAGACACCTGATCCTTTAATAGATTAGGGCCCAAAAATAGGCTTCTGAAAGGCTTGGTATATTTTTCCCTTTTAAGCTTCAGAGGGGTTAGTAGAGCTGGGTCTTCCCACTGAGTTACTGATCCTACTGTTTTCTCTTTCTAGTACCTATAACTACCTGGGAAAAAAGACAAAGCAGATGTTGGAGGCTTTTGAACGAAAGGACTTCTCTTCAGCTCTGAGCCATCAGGTTAGCTTTCTTTTTCCTTCCTTAGAAATCACAGCCTTTTTTCTTTCCCACTTGAGAGTTCTTATTCTCTCTCATCAGCATTCCTACCATGCCTGCCCTCTTTAAAATTGCCCAGCTGCTTCTTTCTGTATTTTCCATCTTTTTTTTTTTGTTTAAAACCAAATCTGCTCCCATTGTCCACGCTCCCTACATGTCTAATCAGGACAGGCCCCATACGGGAATGACTCCTTTCTGTTCCTCCTAGAAATGATCTTATTTTTAGTCTACATTCAAAGTGTTTTTATGACTGTGAAATAATAGTGATGGATTTCTGGGTAAGTGACCACATGCCATCCCCTTGAGAACTTCACACTTGAGTCACCAGAGTATATAAAGAAGCTATGAAGCTGGTGACCCAAAAACGGGAGACTTAATCCAAAATCAGAGCAGGTTCGTCTCCTTGCCCTGGAGATGTTGCTGGGAACTTTATCCACCAAGCAGGAAACAAGAGCTGAGTAGGTGATCCAAAAGGAAGACACCAACTTTGAAGCAGGAAGAGAAAAGCATCAGGAAGTGGTGTATGTCAGGGAAGACCCCTGGGGGACATGGTGGCCGCTGTTAATGTTACAGGGAGGACAGCCTAGTTGTCTAGAGAAGGAAGAACTTCACCAAAGGCTAGAACCAGTCGCAGCAGCTGGTAGTGTGTATACCTTAGGTAAACAGAATAAGGTGGAAAGAAAGAGTCAGCACAACAGAGCAACTTCTGGAGGCCCTAAGAGGTCCAGGACCTTTCAGGATCATAAAAGTGACCAAGAGGAGTAGCCAAAAAAAAAAAAAAATGAGTAGGAATGAAAGGCATAAGCAAGATCAGAGCAGGTGGTTGGTTCCAGTAAGCTCAGATAAGGGATCTTTTGAATAGGACAGGCCACCATCATGTCCTAAGAATGGACTCATTGGACAAGACCCTGATGCTGGGCAAGATTGAAGGCAGGAGAAGAAGGGAAGGCCAGAAGATGAGATGGCTGGATGGCATCACCAACTCGATGGACATGTGTGTGAGCAAGCTCCGGGAGTTGGTGATGGACAGGGAAGCCTGGCGTGCTGCAGTCCATGGGGTTGCAAAGAGTCGGACCTGACTGAGTGACTGAACTGAACTGAACTGGCCACCATCAGGGCAAATCAGGAATTACAGAGCAGAAGCCACGAAGCATCCTGAAGGTTAGAGGGGGTGACCTGAGCTCTAACCAAGAAGAAAACAGGAGAAAGCAGTTGCCAAGAGTGATTAAATACATCCTTCCTGCGACTTCCCTGGTGGTCCATTCCTTAGGAATCTACCTCGCAATGCAGGGGGCATGGGCTAGATCCCTGGTTGGGGAACTAAGATCCCACGTGCCACAGAGCAACTAAACCTTCGTGCTGCAACTGCTGAGCCCATGCCACAGGGAAAGATCCAAGATGCAAAGAGGACCCTGTGTGCTGCAACTCAGACCCAACGCATAGTTAATTTAAAAACATACATCCTTAGCCTTTAGCCCTGAATGTTGAGCCAGCCTAAATCTACTTCCTGCTTAAAGTTTAAAACAGCTTATTTAATATTCATCTTCGTTCAGCCTCAGACCAGATGAGGCTGAAAGCAGGAACACCGTTAAGGATCTAGGAGGCTATGTCAACTAGATTAAGCAGTCTGAATTGTGCAGACTCATGCCATCTCTTTCCATTTATAATTTTCTTCTTCCTAAGTTTTCCAGAAAAAAAGTATTTCTGAAAATTTCAACCTGTTCTGAGCTGAATGGTGGGTGGGAAAATCATAGAATGGCATAAACTGGGAAATAGATGCAAGATGGACCCTTCCATTTAGTGGTTTCTTTTATGGGCTGACTCAGCTTCCATCTCCATCCCATTTTTTCTTTTAGTCCTACTCAAATAAATCATCTCACTTAAAACATTAATTTCGGGGGGGGTCCCCTAGTGGCTCAGACGGTAAAGCGTCTGTCTGCAATGCAGGAGACCCCGGAGAAGGAAATGACAGCCCACTCCAGTATTCTTGCCTGGAAAATCCCATGGATTGCAGAGCCTGGTAGGGTACCATCCATGGGGTAGCAAAGAGTCGGACACGACTGAGCGACTTCACTTTCACTTTCACTTAGTTCATCACATGATATTTTTTCTTACAGAAAGCCAGTGTGAGTGGGTCTCATTTACTTACTTGTTAATATACCAAGGGCTGAACTGAATGCATGATTTCAGTAAATCTGGTCTCTGCCCTAAAGGAGTTTGTAGTCAAGTGAAGAAACAAACAAGTAAAAAGTTAGAGCTAAACTTACTCATTCTAATAGATTTAAATGCCATCCATTATATTTACAAAGTGAAATGATGCATATACAAAGATATTCCTGATAACATTGTTTATAATAACAAAAGATGAAAACAGCTCAAATATCCACCCAAGGAGACGGTTAAATACATAGTTGTTGTTTAATCACTAGGTTGTGTCCAGCTTTTTTATGACCCCCATGGACTTCTCTGTCCATAGGGTTTTCCAGGCAAGAATACTGGAGTACGTTGCCATTTCCTTCTCCAGGGGATCTTTCCAACCCGGGGATCGAACCCATGTCTCCTGCATTGGCAGGTGGATTCTTTACCACTGAGCCACCTGGCAAGCCCGCTGGGCACAACCTAAAGGGAAAGGTCCCACCGCTATGTTTGAGTTATTTAATGGAATTATTTACAGCCCTTTAAAAGGATGAGATAGTTTTATATGCACAGATTTGGAGAGATCTCTATGATATTTTAAGTGTTAAAAAAAAGCAACAAAATAGACTTTTGGGGTTTTTATTTTGGGTTTTTTTAAATATTTAACTTTATTATGAGCAGCTAAAATTATTAATGAATGGTTTGATTAAATTATTTCCGCTGAGCACCAAGCTAAGACAAGGTTGGATAGTGTGATACTGAATAGGAAATAAAAGCTTAGAACAAAAGCAGAGACTTGAATGTAATGTGCCATAGTTTGTGTGTCAGGAAAAAAAAAAAGGACATGTGTATATGTTCTTGGTATTAAAATTTTATTCTGCATTGAATTTTTTATTGCTTGTATACAATTGATTAAGGGCTTCCCAGGTGCCACAGTGGTAAGGAATCCGCCTTGCCAATGTAGGAGATGCAAGAGACACTGGTTCGATCCCTGGGTGGGGAAGATCCTCTTTAGTAGGAAATGGCAATCCACTTTAGTATTCTTGCCTGGAAAAATTCCCATGGACAGAGGCAACTGCCAAGCAGTAGTCCTTGGAATCACAGAGTCAGACACACTGAATGACTAAGCATGCATGCACATACATACAAACATTGTATGTATTAAAACATACATAAAACAACATAAAAAGCAAATGTTATTGAAAATGCATCTCTATTGAAAATAGTGAGATGGATGGGAATCTCTTTTTAAGAACTGCTTCATGAATTTGTGGGTGAATATCCTTTAATGCCAGAATCAGTTACAGTTGAGCATTCGATACTATTTCTGGTTTTTGTTTTTATAGAAATAAGTGCTGTGAAAGCATGATCATATATATTAGTAGATAAGAATGGAAGAAACTTTAGCAGTGTCACTCAGTTCTTTAAGCAGTTTTTGAGTCATATGCCACAAATCACGGAATGCTTGATCATTTAATGATTTTCAACTGACAATGTGAATCACAACATTAAAAGGAATGTTGAAAGGAAAAAATGGAAAATCCTATGATTTTTAAGAGGACTTGTTATCCATTAATTAGAGGAATCACTCAGCTCTCTTTGTGGATGCCAATACCAACATTTGATTTGCTCCTTTATTTGATTCCCAGAGGTGTCCCAAGGCAGTGATATAGGAAGTATGTCTTTATTTTTTCAAAAGTAGGAGAAGGACTGTGAAAGGGAAGATAGACAAGGACAATCTACACCTCCATTATGTGTGAATCCTTACTCTGATCAATTTTAGAAATAGCACTTATGGAATTTGAGTATCTAGAAATTGATTTCCATAAATCAGCCTTGGCCAAGTGCCCCCAAGCTGTCTTGGAAAGTAATCCAGAAGTTAGAGCACCCCAATCTGGAAACAACTACACTAGCTGGTAAGCTTACTTATGTAACCTAGATGGGTTGAGGTTACCTTCCCCACCCTAACTCTGTATTGAACAGTTCCTTCTTTGAAGTTTCTTCTCTTCATCGGCTCAATTCATAAAGCTTATATATATGGAAAAATCCTACCTTAGCCTAGATGGATCTCAACCATCTTCACTTGGCTGTTTTTCTCCATTCTGTCAGACCTTCAGAAAACTAAGATGTGTGGACTTCTGGTTTGAGGTTTCTGTAATTTGACCTCCAAATTCTTTAAATTGTTGTCACAGTTCAGTAATACTGACTATAGATTTGTTTGTTTCTTTCCAGTTTTGTATTCAGAGATTTATCAACTTCGTGGTCAAACTAGGTAAGTTTCCCTGTTTGTCTGCCACTCGGGAGGGTTTGGGGTCTTCCCAGGTGGCACAGTGATAAAGAATCCACCTGCAGGAGATGCAAGAGACTTGGGTTCGATCCTGGGTGGGCCAGATCCCCTGGAGTAGGAAATGGCAATGCACTCCAGTATTCTTGCCTGGAAAAAAATCGCATGGACAGAGGAGCCTGGCCGGCTACATTCCATGGGGTCACAAAGAGTTGGACACAACTGAGCAATGAACACACACACTGGGAGAGTTTCAGAGAAAGTGATGAGGCACTTTCATCACTTTCTCCAAGGGTTCAACAAGACACCTTTTAATCAGTTGTAAACAAGGTTTTATTCCTAATGATAACTTTCAGAGCCAATCCTATCAAATGGTGAAGTAAACCTAGTTGGAAGGCCTTGGCACCCTTCTCCAAATCTCTCTTCTCCATCTCAGCACTTTGCTCACCTCTCCACTCTGTACAAACACCATTTGTTACCCCTTTTCTTCTAAACCATCAACACTCCCTCCCTTCCCTTGCCTCTGCTCCTTAAAACTCTACTTCCACACTATAGCTGACTTCAGCCTAAGTATTTGGAGGAAAGCAGCTTGAATATAGATCTTTCTAAACTGTAAATGACTGACAGCTCTCCCAAGAGTATCTGCCATTTAAAAGTTTATTAACACAAGTAAGCTTGAATGGATAGAGGTTTGAATAACATGACAACGTAAAGTTTGAGGGAAATATAGTGAATCTGAGTTGAGAAACCTCTCCACAGTCTCCTAAGTCTTATCCCATAACAAATGACAAATGCCACCATTCACTCCACTTCTTCAAGAGTTTGGCCCTTCCTGAGAACCTGGGTCAAGTCCAGGAAAAGTTTTAGGTTTTTTCTTGGCAGACCTCCTCCCTTCCTTTCAGAGCCTTTCTGCCTCTTCCTGGCAAGTCTTCCCAAGCCCTAAGCACCTATTATGTATTATGTCCCTCATTCTCACGGGTTTTCAGCCAGCTCTCTTTATCCTTCAAAGACAATGCTTCCCATTTGCTTTCCACTTCGATGATTTTTGTCATATTTGTGTATCACCAGTACTAATGGATCAGCCAAAAAGTTCATTCTGAGTTTTCCATAACAAGAAGGAAACTTTTTGGCCCACCCAATATTGTTAGCTATTATTATTCCCTTGTCCTAAGCAATACTTTTCACAAAATCATGGGTTGGTATATGTTCCTAAAGTGCATAAAAGTAGATATTGAACTACTACTAGTTTTTTTCAGTTTTTAAAGAACTAAAAGTTTACCTGTATGTCTAAGGTCACTTTGCATACCAGCAGTTATACTGCAAAGAAAGATTTTTCTTCCAGTTTTGAGATAAATTTGACATACAGCACTGTATAACTCTGTTTCTGTCTTGTGTTTATTTTTGTATTTTAGATTTCCAGTGAAATGATAGAGTGTCTTTTTCTGTCTGACATTTCAATTTCATTTAGTTTAATACCCTCTAGGTCCATCTGTTATAGGCTGCAAGATTTCATTCTTTTTTATGGCTGAGTAATAGTCCATTGTATATAAGAGAGACTTAATCTTAATAAACATGATAGTCTTATCATGAAGGTAGGTCTTCCTCTTCCACCATTCATAGTAAGCAAAGGAGGGCCACTTTGCATTTAGTAAAGTATATTCTATGTATTTAGCCAAGCTAGTATTTTCCTTCCCAGTGCTCAATTGTTACTGTTACTAAGTTATCTTAGCAAAAGAAAGTTACTGCTCATAGCTTTGATCTAAAAGTAATAGCCAGTTAAGAAAACAAATATCTTCCAGTGCTGTATTCTGGATTATTTCCTTAAGACCTACCTTCAAAATCACTAATATTATCTTTAGCTATGTTTTCTACAGTTTTATTTCACTTGTTATATATTTTCATTTCCATTATTTCTCTTTGGTTATTTCTTCCAGATCATCCCATCTTTACTTATATGCCCTTCTCTTAGCCTATGACTTCTATTCTTAAATATTGTTATCTCTGTTAAATCTCTTTCAGAATTTTGTGTCATCTTTTCTCGTGATGTGAAATGTGTGAGTTGTGTTATTTTCTGATTCCCATGCAGCTTCTTTTTCCTCATGTGCTTTGTAACTTTTAACTGAATTCATCTTCAGAGACAATTGTTTCCTGGGGAGTTCGTTGTACTCCAGGTTGTGAGGTGTCTTATCAAGTGATTTTACATCTGCCTCTGCAAACACTTTATTTTCATCAGTTCTAACCAAGTCTTTAGGTATATTTTTTAGTCTGGTTCCTGTACTAAGCACATAATACAAATAGAGATTCAGCATTTATATATGGCACAGGCTTGGGATTTCTTTTACTGCCTCTTTTTCCAGCCACAGCCCTGGCAGAAGCCAGGCTCCCTTGCCTCTTAGGAGAGTTTTTCTTTGTTTGTTTGTTTAGTTTGGTTTTGTTTTTTCTATTGCTTTTCATATAAGACTGACTACCAACTTTATACTGGGAGTTTTAATTCCAGTTCCTTGCTATATACAGACTGAAGATTTTATCTTGCATTGCAACCCTAGTCTAAAACACCAGCACTGAGTCATAAACTATTCCTTAATTAGTGCGTTTCTCAGGGACTTCTTAGATGTGTCAGAACTAAATTCTGTCTTAGTGATGAAGTCCTCCATCTTTCAATCCACAGTAGTACATCCCTGAATCAGATTATCCTCATGGACCACTGGCTTCAGCATCTCCCTACCACTTTGACCTCTTTATTCCTGATACTTCTTGTCCCTCCTTCTTGCTTCTGAGGTTGACTTTGAGTCTCACTTTGTTTTGTTTTATAATTTATCAATTTTTTAAAAAAGCTTCCAGCATTTGTATGTGTTCGGAGCAGGCCTAGGGATTTCCTAAGGGCCTTCCCAGGTGGCGCTAGTGGTAAAGAACCCTTCTGCCAGTGCAGGCAGACATTAAGACGCACAGGTTCAACCCCTGGGTCAGGAAGATCTCCTGGAGAGGGCATGGCAACCCACTCCAGTATTCTTGCCTGGAGAGTCAATCCCATGGACAGAGAACCCCGGTGGGCTGTAGTCCATAGGGTCGCACAGACTTGGACACAACTGAAGCCACTGCGCATGCATGCAGGGATTTCCTGCATCTGCTCAACCTGCCATATTGACTGGAAATGCCCCATCTTTTACTTCCATTTTATCCTGTCCTGTAATAATCACTGTAAGAATATGATCTCTTCTCTGGAATGTTTGTGGCAACTTGGACCGTCCCAGCCATGTTTCCTTTTTATTTTTTCTAGGTTTTGGAGTGTCGCAGACCAAAGCCATCATGACCCTTGTCTCTGGGATTCCAATGGGCCCACCCCGCCTTCCACTACAGAAAGCCTCCAGGGAGTTTACTGATAATGCAGAAGCTAAACTGAAAAGCCTAGATTTCCTTTCTTGTACTGATTTAAAGGGTGGAGATATGGAAGCTTGTAGCTAGTGTCTATCAAATCTGGGTGTGTACATTGAAATATAATGTACCTGAATACTGCATTTATTTCTCAAAGCCTTTTTAAACTCAACCTTCCTAGCAAATGAAATCTTACATCAGTCAACAAGTATTTAAATACCTACTATGATCTTTTAAAAGTTTTAATTTGTAAAAGGGCAAAAACTTCAAAAGGAGTCATAGCCCTAAATCATTCAATATTTCACAAAATTTTTGTATAGAAAGTTTTGCATATATAGATGAGATCAAATCAAGAGGAAAACTGTACTTGATTAATTCCATTTGCCTTCGGGAGCTCCCATTATCTTAATTCCTGGTTCTTAATTCTATTTTAAAGTTTTCTAATTTTAAACCACCACAATATACTTTCATTTCAATAAATATTCATTTGTAATCTAGGACAACTCTGAGTGATTGCATTTAGGCAGATATTCTAACTTACAGGCAGATTAATACAATGTAACTCAACTATGCACAACTATTAACATATCAGTTCACTTGGCTGCACAGTCTAACCCTAGTATATCTGCTTTCAGATTAATTACAGTGTCACAGTTTTCCCCAAAAACTTTGGGTTAGGTGAAGACTTGCTTCAGTTACTATAACTAAAGGTCTATTTGGGTGGTTTTCACATAACAAAGGAGAGGCGTTCCCCAAAGATGAATTCATGTCTTTACTTGCTGCTGTAGAGAACTTCTCAAAGCTCAGAGTTTCGAAGAACCAAAGATCTCTCTACTCTGGGCACCACAACTTCCCCCTTTCCTCACTGGGGACAAAGTGTCCCCCAGCAGTGCACTGAATTATTGGAAGTAAAAACCAGAGTCCCTTCTGCAGTGAGCCCAGCAGCTACTTGCTTTCATTTTCCAGTTGCATTTTCAAGCAGTCAGTTTTCAATGATAAAAGGTTTAGGGAGGACCCAAAGATCTCACTTTAAAGTTCTCTACACACCCTCTTTACTTTTTTCTTTCTCTGGAATGTATAACTGACTGCTCAGCCACCTCTGTAACAAACCCAGGTGCCTGCTTTCTAGCAACAATGTCTATTGTGATTTTAAACTTGATTATCCAATCTAGTAACTACCTAGGGTTTTATTTTGTTTCCTATCTGATTAGTCTGCAGAGAAGTGTTTGAAATTCATATCAGTTTACTCTGTTTTTTAATTTTTAAAATTAACAAGAAAACTTGTTCAAAATGAGAATTCGAAATGAACAGTGGATTCAGTTATCTTTGCTAACCCTTTTTAAAATTGGTTGGGTAGGCAACAGTTGTTATATTTATATCTCCTCCCTCCTTTTACTGACTCAATGGACATGAATGTGAGCAAACTCCAGGGTACAGTGGCGGACAGAGGAACCTGGCATGCTGCAGTCCATGGGGTCACAAAGAGTCAGATACGACTTAGTGACTGAACAACAACAGCACTCCTTTTTGGCCCAGGAATAACACATACTTTTTTTTCATGTTTCTGTCTTCTTTGGGAATAAGGTATCTGAATTAGAAATTGAACCACAGTGGCTTATGTGAACTTATATTCTACCTCACTGAAACTTCTCTGTATAGCTGTTAACTTCCTAAAAGAAGAAAAGTGAGGTTTTTGTTAGTGTTTGTTTCTGACGATGTCATATCCCTATTTAATGATACTAAGGCCAAATTAACTTTTCAGTGAAAATAAATATTGGATATCCACTAAGCAAGGAGCTCTGTTTTTCTTTTTTTTAACTCATCTGAAATTAGCACTTGGAGAGCTTTTAACATGATTAATGAGATCTTGTGAACACAAAGAGAAATAAGATGGTTAAACAAATGACCAGGGCTGAGTTTAAACTTTGTTATGTTGGTTTTTTTTTAAATAATTTTTATTTCATTTCTTATTTTTGGCTGCTCTGGGTCTTTGCTGCTTTGCATACGCTTTCTCTAGTTGCAGCGAGTAGGGGCTGCTCTTTGTTGTGCTGCATGGGCTTCTTATTTCAGTGGTGTCTCTTGTTGCAGAGCACAGGCTCTAGGCATCCAGGCTCAGTAGTTGTGGCACACAGGCTTAGTTGTTCCGAGGCCATGAGAAATCTTCCCGGACCAGGGGTTGAACATCTATTTCCTGCATTGGCAGACAGATTCTTTACCACTCAGCCACCAGGGAAGCCCCCAGTGTATGTTCTTTATACATCACAGAGAAACATTACATTGCTGCTAAACTGCTAACTCAAAGGCTGGCAAAATAAAGTTGAAAATGATACAAAACCCAAGAAGTGATATAGAAATTTGCATGTATTATCATCAGAGATCAGATCACAGTTCCACTCTCAGATTTTTTCCTAGGTTGCAAACTTTTGACTGTGCTTCTAACAGTAGCAGATGGGGAATGGAAAATATCTATGGACTCTTGAATGATCCATGTATCACTGTTTGGAACAGTGGCAAATACAATGAGAGAATGCCTTTTGCTAAGTGACTTTAGAGGAACAAGCAGGTCAAAGAGGCATAGATTAAAAAAGTTACCATCACTGCAAGATTTGAAGTATTTATGTGTTTATGGGGCTTACTTATATGCAGAGTACATCATGAGAAACACTGGGCTGGATGAAGCACAAGCTGGAATCAAGATTTCCGGGAGAAGTATCAATATCTCAGATGTGCAGATGACACCACCCTTATGGCAGAAAGCAAAGAAGAACTAAAGAGCCTCTTGATGAATGTTAAAGAGGAGAGTGAAAAAGTTGGCTTAAAGCTCAACATTCAGAAAACTATGATCATGGCATCTGGTCCCATCACTTCATGGAAAATAGATGTGGAAACAGTGACAGACTTTATTTTGGGGGGCTCCAAAATCACTGCAGATGGTGACTGCAGCCATGAAATTAAAAGATGCTTACTCCTTGGAAGAAAAGTGATGACCAACCTAGATAGCATATTAAAAAGCAGAGACATTACTTGCCAACAAAGATCTGTCTAGTCAAGGCTATGGTTTTTCTAGGAGTCATGTATGGATGTGAGAGTTGGACTATAAAGAAAGCTGAGTGCCGAAGAATTGATGCTTTTGAACTGTGGTGTTGGAGAAGACTCTTGAGAGTCCCTTGGACTGTAAGAAGATCCAACCAGTCCATCCTAAAGGAAATCAGTCCTGAATATTCATTGGAAGTACTGATGCTGAAGCTGAAACTCCAATACTTTGGCCACCTGACGAGAAGAACTGACTCATTTGAAAAGACCCTGATCCTGGGAAAGACTGAAGGCGGGAGGAGAAGGGGATGACAGAGGATGAGCTAGTTGGATGGCATCATCAACTCAATGGACATGAGTTTGAGTAAACTCTGGTAGTTGATGATGGACAGGGAGGCCTGGCATGCTGCAGTCCATGTGGTTGCAAAGAGTTGGACACGACTGAGCGACTGAACTGAACTGAACAATGTGTTTATGGGCTGGGAAGGTATGTGACATGACTTTTTGTTTTAAAAATGTCACTCTTGAAGCGGTGTGATGAGTAGATTAGAAGACAGACTGGGAACAGAGAAACCATTAGGTGGCCTATTGCAATTGGTAACTAGTTGTGGAGCCTCAAACTGAGGAAATGGCAACGGTGATGGAGGGGAGGGAGTGGAATAAAAGATATTTGGAAAAAAGAATCAACAGAAACTGGATACGGAAGATACAGCTGGCACTCCACATCTGCAGGATATCTCTCTATCCAAGGATTCGACCAACTACGGAAGGAAAATATTGGGGAAAATAATTCCAGAAGGTTCCAAAAAGCAAAACTTGAATATGCCACATACTGGTAACTATTTACATAATATTTACATTGTATTTACAACTATTTACATAGCACTTGCATTGTAGTTATTAGAAATCTAGAGATGATTAAAATATACAGAAGGATATCCTATAGGTTTTATGCAAATTTATGCCATTTATTTAGAGATTGGTGAATCTCCATAGATTGGTATCTGGGAGGGTCCTGGGACCAATCCCCTATGGATACTAAGGGACCATTGCACTTGTGTTTGTTATTTAGTTCCTGTAACAAATCACCCCTAAGTGTAACAGTTTAACATTGGAAACATTAACTCATGTAGTTTCTGCCCCTTAGGAATCTAGGAGCAGTTTAACTGGGTGATTCTGGTACAAAGTCTTTGAAAAAATTGCAGTCAATCCATTGGCTAGAGCTTTATTCCTCTCAAGGTTGAACCGGAGCTGAAGAACCGGCTTCTGGGTTCACTTACGTAGCTGGGCAGGCCTCTGTTCCTTGCTGGCTATTGGCCAGAGACTTCAGTTTCTCACGACACTGTGGCAGCGTTCTTACTCCAGGAAGATCTGAGAGAGTGATCTGAAAGATAGAGATGGCACACAAGTGAGCCAAAACTCAAAACAGAAGCCACAGTCTTTTAAAGCAATCTCAGAAGTGGCTTACCATCCCATTCCGTGTGCTTTAGTCAAAAAGACCAGTCCTAGTAACAGTGTAGGATGGGACTACACGGGGTGTGTATGCCAGGAGGAAAGGGTCGTTGTTGGCCATATTGAAGGCTGCCTACTCCAATAATAAAAGAATCAGGATTGAAACCCGAGACTCCAAAGCCTGGGGGACATTAAGGAGAGAGGTTCACCAAGCATTTACATACGACCTGAAGTTCAAAAGAAAGTTTGGATAGGAGATTGAGGTTTAGAGGGTATTCACACACTGATGGTAGTTGAAAGCATGTAAAACAGTCCAGGCAGAGTGTATATAGACTGCTGAGAACAGAACCTGGGCATGACTGGCATTCGGTGTGCTTACAGAGGGAGCTTCATAGGAGTCTGAGATGGAGGGATTGGAGACATGGGAGCAGAGCTGTGCTCGGAGGAACTCCAAAAGCCTCAAATGTGAGGGGTGGTGATGTTCAGATAAGTTCAGAAGTCTCTTCGTCAGAGGAGAATGTTAAAGCTCAGAGGGAAATGGGCAGTTGGCAGATGTCACCAGTCCCCAAAGGACCAGGGTCTCTCAATCACCCCTGAAGTCATCT